CCGTCTAGACAAAGTGCGTGAAGTGCGATGTCGGACTCTGTATTTCCGGATGTTTCCAAGATTTCCACACGAAGCCAACTTCCGTCAGACGACGCAGGTGGGGAGACAACTTATAAAGCTGGTGACCAAAAATCATGTAAGTAGAAAAAGAATTTATAACTTAAAATTAGATTTTAAAAAGCCGGTCGCACACGTGGACTGCGCGACGCCATATGGTGTCGCTCGGCTCTTAAAGGATAAACTGCTAAGATAGCTCTCTGGTCTTACACTGTTGCTATTAGTTAGGCTTGCCGTTAGTACACAAGTGGTCACTGCAGCTGAGCGGTCTAAGGCATGTACTGTCTTCGATCGCTCAGAAGCCGGGATTATGGGTTCGAATCCCACACAAGGCATGGATGTTTGGTATGTGTATGTGTTTATTCTGTGTTTGTGGTGTCCTTTGTTTAGGCAGAGGTCTTGTGATGAGCTGATCACTCATCCAAGGAGTCCTACCATCTGTAAAGCGATCACGAAACTGAAAAATCAGAGGTGAGGGCCCAAGGGGGCTGTAGAGCCAGTAAAAAAAAATTGTACTCAATGGTTAAAGAGATGTGTTTCATTTACATACATCATCAGTCTGGTGTCTAGGTATAAGAATCAGCTACACAACAGAAGACTTAGAAATGCTTTCAGTGATACTCAGTACAACAGACTCTCAATTATTTACCTTTCACATTAATCATGGGTCTCCCAGAACACTGCAGATACTGAGTATAGCTTCCCAATAAGATTTAAGCATTACTCATTACAGCTGGTTCAGACTAGGCCTACATATCAGGTCACCATTGCTTTACAATAACTTGCAACACAATGCACATCTTTTCCCTTGTTGCAACTTCATGCTTATATTATTTGATTGCTTATCCCACCAGTCTACCACTGAATAATGGCTGGTTGCTTACAGTGGAAAGGTACCTTGTCTCATCATTTGTGACAAGCAGCATGATCAGTAACTGACCATTAAGTGATTTTCTGGGTTGAATGCACCATGGTTAGTGGGTGTTGCCGGGGTTTTAGATTATGTCCTCTTAATTACTGATGGTACTTCTCATCTCTGAAGATAATCAAGAGTTTACTGATCACATTGTTCTTATACTATTCATTTTCCTGATACAACAGTTTTCCGCAAATTTTATAAAACAAATAGGTTCAACTGATTCCTGATTCAGCATATATTTCTTTTGGGTTAATAACTAGAAAGATACACACAAAAATGTATTTTGACCATAAAATGTGTTTTTAATGAAATTCACAGATGGCAATGCTTATTTATTAGAAGTATCAAAAGTAACTTGTTATTAAAGTAACAAAGATGTGAGTATTAAAGTTAATGTTGATTTTTGAGCCTTTAAATGCCAAAATGTACTTATATATCAAAATTCAGTTCATACCTAACAGGGAACACATTATAGCCCTGCTACAAAGCCCAGACAGTCAATGAAGTTGGAGAAATAATCACTGTTTATTGCGAGAATAACATGGAACACATAAATACGCTGTCTAGACAAACTGCAGAATTCTTCAATTTTGAAAACAGGTGGCATATATAGTAACCACTGGGCTTTAAAGGGTTACATAAAACATCATTTAAGATTAATTAGGTCAAACTGATGCATGGTAAACCTTTTATGTAACAGAAGTGTTTTGCTATTTCTGAGCTTCTGGACTTATTCATCATCCAGTAGTCTGAAAGGAAACAACTTCTGGAAACTGAATCTGTTTTCATCCTTTGGATCACTGCTCTAGCAGACCTTCACATGAGATCACAGCAATGAACACTGAGGTTCTGCTGTAGCCCTGCACTTACCCTAAAACGTAATCTTACCATTCTTACCTTTGCCGCTGCCTCAATTCCCGAGCAAGAGCAAAATTTTTTTCAGCTCCAGCTACATCTCCAAGTTGCAGGTACACACGTCCGAGTGTTGACTGGAGAGCACGCTTATGATGACTACCCCATTCTCGGCCATTCAGTAACAGTTCTAACACTTGAACTGCCAAACTATAATCCTGCACGACACAAACATCACCAACCGCTTTTTGCTTTTTCATACATTCATAATAAAACCACCTGCACTATTACTAAATCAGGAACAGAAAAAAGAACACTTATTTAGGATGTGCATATGGCCTATGCATTCTTTACAGTAAAGATGTAACAGAATGAACACCTTATCAAACATATCCCTTTTGTTTTAATATCTCAGACTCTTAAACTTATTACTTAAATAGAGATTTGTATTTCTTAAGTTTGTTTGATATAACATCAAAGTTCTACATCATCACTGTATTTTTAATTCTTGATTTATAAACATATTTCACACACATTTGTGGGTATGTTTATGGTATACCTCCAAATGTCAACAATTCATTAGTAATCTCTATTAAACCAAAACCTAAATACATGTTTCATGCAGGTGCCATGTTGTTTTACACTCTACAAAAAGAGTTCTTTAACAAAAGCTGCATATTCTTTAAGATATGGGATATGATATTTCAGAACCCTGCATTAAGTGGTGCTAAAGTCACATTACATGGCATTAAGAAATACAAGGCTTGGTAGGCCTTTAGCGGCAAATATATTAGGCCACAACTACTACTCTTCACATCCTTTCCAACTGACTGATCACTAGCTATTTAATCATTTGACAACACAGTCTGAGCCACTGACATCATCATTAAATAATTCATAAAGAGACAATGTAATGGCATACAATTCATACCAAATTTCATAACGTTCAGAGGAGTACAAATATTAGGAGGAGACATACAGTGAGCTTTTAAACCTACATTCTTTCCTTACGAAATGAACGTTGTCTAAGAACCACAAGGGTTGAGACACCTCAACTTGCATGACATTCAGAGCAATTACAATTTATTAAGTGACTGAGGTGTTTTCAGAAGAATGCACAGACACAATATTACTATGATCCTGCAGATCTTTTTAAAATAAGGAATGCAGATAAAATGCTTTCCTTATTTTTATCAATTTCTTATAGAAAAGAAATTAATAAACTGTTAAATTCAAAATGAAAACCACACGGTGCTTCAAAAAGAGATGTGGCAGAAACTTATCCCCTAAACAATACAGTTATAAGTCTAAAAGAATAACAATTCTTACATTCACAGGTACATATATTACATACACTTTTAGACCATAATTTGGGTTTAAATATTTGACATAAGTAAAAAGTTGAAGTCAGACGTAAGTTGGAAATAAAAATGTAAAACTTACTTCCACCTTTAATGCAACTTCATTTCCAGTTTTTCCTTAATTTAAATTAACATTACAATTACAATTAAACTGACATGTTTTGGCTTTACTTGGCCATCTCAGGCAACTGTTCATTTGTTGAAAATGTTACACTGCATTGGATTTTAAGTCAAAATATTTCAGTGTTATTGCATTTTCGTCGTTTACACTAAAATACATTTGCTTGAGAACGTCACTCTTTATCTTTCCTTGCCCTTCCTTCATCTTGTGGCATCTGTGCCTTCTGTGTTGCTTGATTTAGCCCTATGAATATTGGTGTGGTGTTGTAATCGTTATTTTTATGTGCCCCATTAGTATGTAAGTTCCCATGCAGCTGGCTGTTCTAGTCAATTGTATGTCACTTTAATAGCCCCATTAGTATTGTAACGTGTTTCGTTACTGAAGATGCCGTAGAGATCGTTAAGTGGTTTATTCAACAATCTACAAGAAACGGCTACAATCAATTATCACAACGTTACGGGTTTCCACAGTTTACAAACCGTACAACACAATCTCTTAACACTGTCTTCAAGAGTCTTCAAGTATTAATAACGCGGGAGCTATACCAGTCTCCCTGAATTACACACTCCGAGTATAACTGTACTACAGCACTCACTATGTCTGGAAAGCACACAATAAGTCTTCCGCTTGCTGACTTCTTAAGTATCGCACACTCGCAGGCTGCTATGTTTCAACTCGGCGACTGTTACTTTATAACTGACTCGCAGCCACTGTGCAGCTCACTTATATAGCTGCAGTGCTTGCTTGTTGCGTAAGGAGTGCCACGTCATCCTGTTACGTCACCGCTGTTGACTCGCATTGCATAGTTACCAGGTTACGAGGGCTCGGCTATCTTCGGCTCCGCTCGTGACGTCACCGCGCATAGCTGCCAGGATGCGGGGTGATTACTCGCCTATTACGCGAGCGTTACGTTACCGCTACGTGCAGCTGGGGAGGTAGGGGTCAACATGTCACAGTATGTAAGTTCCCACGTAGTTGCTCTAGTCAACTGTATGTCACTTTATTGTTACATATGTACATACTACTGGGACACGTAAAAATAATGACGGGGCTAAAGAAAACAACACAAAAAACCATGGACGCCACAAGATAAGAAGGTAGCACAAGAAAAGATAAAGAGTGATGTTCTCAAGCATATTGATTTTAATGTGAATGCTGAAAATGCAATAACACTGGAATATTTGAAGTTAAGAATTAATGCACAGTAGCAATTTCAATAAGTGAAAAGTTGCATGAGGATGGCCAAGTAAGGCCAAAACATGTAATTTTAAATTAAGGAGAAACTGTAAACAAAGTTGCATTAAAGACAAAAGAAATTATGTAAAGTGATACATAAATGCAACAGCATGCTGAAATACAATATTAAAAATGTAAAAGAATGAAAACTTACACTTCAAGTATGTAATTCTTATCCTTCAGTAAGTAAAACACCACAAGGGCCTATAGGGGATTGGAGATATGGCTTGACACATTCTTAATCAAAGTACAAGATGGATATGTGTGGTCTGCATTATGCTCTAATGATTTCACCCTTGGGGAAAGAGCACCTGATACTTATGGGATATAAGGTTGGGTAGGACCCAGATCCAGTCTGGACGGTGGCAAAGAATAAAAACCTCTATTCCTCACTGTGTATCAAATGTCTTCCAGGCTGTGCTCACTGTAGTCACTTTGCCAAGTGAGCTACCCTGGCAACATGGATATGGGGAGCTTAAAAGTCCATGCAAATAAGATTTTATCAAAATCAATCCCATTTTAGCTTTCCACATACCTTCTCATAAAGTGCACAATTGACAATCGAATGAAGAACACGGGCCTCTCGACTGGCCCACAGTTTCTTTGATTCATTGCGGTCTGAAAGACTCAGTTCTGCAGGACTACCATCTTCACAAAGACCAGCTTCAAGGTTACAAAGGATCTATAGAAATTAAAGAAAATGGTTTCATTGTTCTAAAAACAAATTTTAACACACTTCAGAAATGATAATGTAACAGACCTCAGACAAAGCTTGCACTCAGCAATAAGCCAATCATGCCATAACTTATTATTTATTTTCATGTTTGTGTGTTTAGAGAACTACACCTCTTATATCTATTTCTAATGTAAATGTCACAACCTTCTTATGAAATCATTACATATATATTACTACACCACTACAAATTCAAATCTTAAAGATTTTATGTGTGTTGCAATGTACTACTAGTATAATGAGTTCATGAAAAACATATCGCTATTTGGAAAACAATCCGTATCCTTTGGTCTGAAATTCTGTATACGTGTATCTCTGAACAGAAGACAAGTGAGAAGTATTATTTTTTCGCTTAGTGGGGGGTGAAGTCCAACTGGGTCCACTCAGCATGGCGGCCATTGATTTGCCTATTGTAGCCTGCCCCGGATGATTATGATGATGAAGAATTTGGTGGAATGAAGAATGGCAGGGGAAACGAAAATACACAGAGAAAACCTGCCCAGCGCCACTTTGTCCACCACAAATCCCACTTGACCAGACCTGGGATAGAACCTGGGCCACCGTGGTGGGAAGCAAGCGACTAACCGCTTGAGCTATGGCGCAGCCTAACTGAGAAGTAAGAGCTAAGAGCTCAAGGGCAAGCAGTCTTTTGTTTTAGTGTATCATGTCTATTCTGTGAGTAGTGATAATATTTTGATGTGGATATGTGGAGTGTAGTATACTACATAAGGGAGATGGTTTACAATTAATTATTTTTAATGCTACTCATGGAAGATGGCATTGAGGATCAGCCCCAATGTATAATTTGGTAACATGTAGGAACAGAAAAGATTATGGGACAAAGATGGGGAACTTAATAGTGCGAAGGCTTTTATAACAACTGATGAGACTTCCCACTCAATTCTCAATGCTTCTTACACTAGTATACTGTGGTGTATTTGTTCTATGCAGGAACTGTTGAGCCACAGAGGCCTCAGGGCATGCGCATAATGGGAGAGTTGCGGATTGTATTGGCTTGTTGTAGGCAACAGCTCTGTGAACGCTTGGATTGTGCAACAGTAAGTAGGGGTCACATGACTTCTGTGTTTCCATGAGTGACATGACATAGACTCCTGTATTTCCATGAGTGACATGACATACCCCCACCCAGCCCATTGCTACACAATGCTTGGTAAACACCGTTTGACGCTAGGCTGTGATGTCATGCAACAGTGGTACCTATCATGTAACTAGCTTTCCATGGAGTCTATGCCATGACTGTTGCTATGCAATTGCTCAATAAACACATTCCAACATAGGCTGTTTTGTGAGCGCTCAGAGCAGAGGCTATATAACAATTACAGACAGAACATATGGCAGTATTTGGGAGTATTCGAGTGTGTTTGAGTGAGTTTAAGTAAGAGCAACAGGATGTTCGTAGAAGACCTGTGAAGATTTAAAGGGTGACTGAAGACCTTAATTATGTGCAATATTTGGAGCGATCTGAAGCACTAATTTCTGTGCTGAGATATGTTACCCGGAGAGGACTAACGTGTGCGTGCAATAGTGGATTATGAGTTTATGTAAATCAGCGATAGTGCTCTAGTTTAAGTGTAATTGAGAGAGTGCATAACCAAGTGGTTAATAAACCCCATTACCAATCTGAACGCTGTCTTCAGTCACCCAAACACGTTACAATACATTAAATTTTAAATGTGAAACATTTCAAAATAAAGTAACTCAGACTTTTTAGCATTTCAAACTATTTGTGGTGCTAACAAATAAGAACGGAGGGTTTACTGTCACACAAATGTTCTTTTTAATCCACTCACAACATAATTCAGCTCAGACATGATATCATCAAGTGATGTGGGAAATATACAAACGATGATGGATTTCATATAAAACTACAATGCCAGTATAAATTTGAAAATTTGTTAGTTAAATCAAGTTAGATTTGATTTAATACTATATACACATTATATTTTAAAATTTAAAAACAGACATTATAAAGTGCAGGGGGATTTTCTGGGGGGGGGGGAAGTGAAACTTTGGATAATTTTAGTAAACATAGGATTGAGGTGATAAGGTGTTTATGATAGAAGGTGTGTGTGATTAAGGTACATGTGTATTAGATTATTATGTGGGGGTGATAGATTATCTTCCAAAAAACACCCAAGAAGAATTTAATCAATATATTTTCAACCAAGTTCTCTCAATAGAATAATTACTAAGCCTAGGGAGAAAGCACCTTGTACACAGAACACTGGGTCCACCAAAAACTACACTGTTCAGTAAAAGGATTACTAACTTTTGACTCAAAATCATCAAACGTTACAATCAAAAAGTGCTACCATTATAATAAATGTCTTGTTAAATAAAATAGTTCGCATAATTACATCGAGATTATAACCAATACAGGCACTCTAAACTTTAAATTTGTGTCAGTCTTGCCATTTTTTTACAAATAAATATTTGTTGGTTTGGGTGGATACAAATGGAAATTGCAAAGTCCTGGAGATAGTGAAAGATGTGATAATGGTGTGGGCGAGAGCAGGCTTGGTGTATGTGTGAAGGGGGAATGAGAACCATAGGACAATTATGCTTTGCCACAGCCAGCCACAATTTTATGGAGGTTATTTTCTTGACCAGAACATACACTGTAACCACAGACAAAGTGCAGTGCATTCTGCTTTGTGGTTTACATTGTCAGTGTATCATAATTCAACCCCCTTTCTTTCACTCACTTTTATTACCAGGAGCACATGATGCATCATGTAACTAAAACAGTGGTCTTTAAACTACAAATTTAGCAAAATACTGAAACTTCATTATGACAGATATAATTTATCATTCTCCAGAAGTTCATTTACTAAAATATCATTGCACATGAAGAATGACAAGAATGTCCAGGTGTGGAAAACCAAGATAAACCAGTGGGGTATGAGAATGTAATAGTCATTATATGTCTCTTTCTCTAACTTACATGATTACATGACATTTAAAATTTTCATGGCTGTGTAGATTTAGACTGTGGTCTTTAGATTATGATAACATGTGGTCCAGTGGGTGGATACTGATGCTTCAAAGGAGCATACTGTCACCATCAATTCTGAGATGGCAGCAGAAATGGGGGCAGATTCTGATACCTCCAGTGTATAGGACGATCACATGACTGATGCTAGGCGGATGGAAGATATGAATTAACAGACTGACTGTCAGAGAGGATACTGGTGTATGTGCAGAACATGTTCCTTGCTGCTATGACAGCTACAAGCATAACAGTTTGAACATATGATACCTTCCTAACAGTTGCCAGAAGTGCATGTAAGCGGTTCAGTGCCTCTTGATGTTTTGTAAGATACTGCGGAAGTTCGGCTAGCAGCAGACGGAAAGCAAAGGGCACCATTGAACCCACACGACCTCCATACAGCTCGGGATAAAACTGAAAGTATAGATCTGGATGGTCCAAGTCTCCAAATGGCTCTGATTCCACTTCAGCTAATGAGAACGAGCGCAGTTTCACAAGAAGAGCAAATCGTGTGAACCAAAGCTGAGGACAGAATGTTAGACACTCATACAGTCTGCTGTCTACCGAAAAACAATATTATTTGAACCTTCTGCTAGGTATAAATAAGAATGTGTCCAAGTAAATATTCTTGTTCATGGATGTGGCACTGAGATAACCTTTTCTCATGACAAGCAACTTTGTTTGAGGATATATCTTAATGTAAGGTAGCAGTCATACCTGAATGGAATGTACAGTGTGTTTGCTTGGGTGACCAGCTCTTCCTGCGCCCTGACCATATATGGTAAGAAGTTGACCAGTCAGGTTGACGGCAGCCCGGAAACAACCAGCCTGAAATTGAAGAATGAATTCCAGTAATATATATAATAAAATTCAGCTGAATCAATTTCTGAACTGAGTTATACAACGGTTGGAACTTTAATAGTGGCAACACTGCTGCAGATGCCATGCAATGGAACCAAATAATGTTGCTTATACCACACGTTAGTTACATACCTACCTTACCTCAGGGCAAATGGACTCTCCCTTCCCACATCACATGCATGTGCAGTGACAAGAAGAACAGAGCCTCGTGTTAGCTGGCAGTCTAATGAAGTGTTGTCACAATGTTTTTGAAACAGGAACCACGGAGTTGGATGAAGATTGAATATGCCAGAGGCCGTACAGCACGACAGTGTCATCAAGGTCTTCAAGAGGCTTGCAGGGAATCTGCATTGTCTTACAGAACAGTCGCAAGGTGGGGAAAAGCCTTCAACGAGGGACAACAAAATGTGGCAGACATGCGTTGGCCAGGTTGTCCTAGTGTCAGTGAAGAAGTGTGTGCTCTTTCCGCGTTATGGGAGAGTGATCGATGCCATAAGATTCGTGAGCTGGCCCAAGAGACAGGATTAGCGCATATGACTGTGCTGTACATTCTGAAGGAATGCCTGAGAATGAGAAAAATTGCATCACGATGGGTTCCGCGTGATTTAACGGAAATGCAGAAATGGCAAGCTGTGGCTGATGTGTTCGATCAATGGGGCTGGGAAGTGCTGTACCATCCACCATACTCCCTGGAATTAAGCCCTTGTGACTTCAACTTGATTCCTAAGATGAAGGAACCACTTCATGGCATTCGCTTCAAAACTGTTCCAGAGTTTCTTCAGGCAGTAGACTGCTCCATTCAAACTATTAACACAACAGGCGCTGCTAAAGGTATCCTATGACTTCTACCTCGCTGACAACGGGTTTTACACAATGCTGGTGACTACATTGAAGGACAGTAAAACTTTGAAACATGCATCTATTTTCTATCAGTTGTAAATAAATAGTTGCCACTATTAAAGTTCCAACCCTTGTACAAAGGTTTAGTTAACACAAGGTTTTGACAAAGTATAAAGTTCTTACAAAGAATTCCTTTTTACATTTATTTTAACCACATAACATACTACTGTGACAGAATATGTGCAGACATCATTCCATTTTTCCAATACTAATACTGCTAACCCCAAGTTAGAATGGCTTCACTATAGGAAATTAATAAGCCACTCAACAATGGAGCAATGAGGGAGTAGCTACCAGAGAGGTCATCACAGGTCAAAGTGGGTAATGTGGGGCACAAAGACAAGTTAAATACAGATGGCAGTCAAGGGGAAATAACAATGTTTATACAAACAGAAATCCAGAGCAGAGTCAAGTAGTGCAGTTCAACAGCAAAGAGAATTCCAAAGACAAATAAATACAAAGAAAATTTAATACAATGAGAACTGCACCACTGGGAGAGGCAGAGTCCCAGAGAAATGCATGTGCTGAAGAAGCTGGGACATCGTAGGAGTGAAAGGGAGTAGAAAGGGAGGAAAATAGGGTACAGAAGGAGGGCGATGCAGCAGGAAGTATGGGTGTGGTAGGTCATGGAATGATACATAATGTTGTAAAATTGCAATGTTTTTGTTATCTGTCACAATCTACAAATAACTACAGCACATTCAACCTATGTGATTATATTCCCCATGTAGGAAACAACAAAGGGAAGAAACCACAGATCTGATACTTTCCCCCTCCCATTGGTTTCTGAAGGTGAAAAATAGCGTTTCTCCCAAAATCGATAGGTAAGTTTCAAGCTTAAGTTGAGTAAAAACTTGTAATGATACGATTTGTATTTCATATCATGAGGAATAAATTCGTTTTACATTTGAGTCTCTAGCTTCAATAGTTATCGAGATATGGAAGATAATGCAAACCTCCATTTGAGCCGAAAACGCGTTTTTTCGCATTATAAAAACGGCTGTTCTGGTAGAACTGAGAGGATTACAGTTTTTTTTTTAAATATTTTTGAAGTGTTAAAATACGTAGNTCTATCTCCGGGAGCGTCACTTCTTACCGTATAGGATTTGAACCGACGGCCTTTCTCCCAGACAAGAATTCTCTCTAATGGCTGATTTTAACTGCCAAATCATGATACCATCAGTACAAGACAATCACATTACTAACTTTGAGAATGAAGAGATCCAGAGATTTTGAACCCGGGACCCTACATGTGAAAGCACTTATGTCTTAGTTTAGGGCAGACAACAAACATATCCTTTTCATAATTGCCTCGACCCTCTAACGGTCACCCAAGGTCCAGGTATCAAAATAAGTTGTTCCTGTCCAAATGCGAAATGCATGTCAACTTCTTAATGGATGGGTCACCCTTATAAATCAGTCACTCTATTGAAATGGCTGAAAAGGAACATGCGTCCATTAAAGAGTATTGAAAGGTTTGGACGGTTACAGTAGAAATAAGTGTACAAAATATGATTTTTTTAAAAAATGGTGAGCGACCTCTCTGGAGGACTTCACATGGAATGACCCTATAAACTTATGTGGGAAAACATCTTCTAACAGTAAGTAAGTAAAGTAAGTAAAGATATCCACAGGCTGTGGAGGCCCATAGAGTTGTGAGATGTTGAGGTTCCCACATTTTCTAGACAATCAGCTCACAGATGGTGGTAAGGTTATCAGCCTTGCGCACTGGCCGCCCTTTACCCCCAAAAACATTCCAAGAATATTCCTGGTACTTGTTTCTGTTAGAGGCTGAGTCAACCGCAGGGCCTTAGTGCAGCTGCAAGGATTACGTAAATTGAAAAAATCCAATGACTTCATCGGGATTCGATCCCACGACCTTCTGGGTTGTAGCATAGTACCTCAATCAACTACGCTACCATGTGCCCCTACAGTATGTTTAAAAAAGTTTACAATTTTTTATATAAAATGAATTGAATAAAGAATTACGATTTTATTAAGTGTATAAACAGGTATAATTTAAAATGTGAACTGTTTGCTGAAAAAGACAGAATACAACTGTACAATGTTCACATAATATTATTTCTTGTTGACACTGACATGCCAAGATGTTCTGCCACATTTCTGCAGGCCAAATGTGGTTCAGCATCCACTCTCATAAATAACTGTTTTTCAGAAAATGACAATGCCTTGCATTTTATTGAAGTTTTATAGCCTTGTTCTAGTTCCAGTCCCAGCTGTGGAGTGTGATGAGCAGCTGCTCTCAAACACTCTTCAGCTCAAAGCCCAGAACCAGAACATCTCAGTATTCACTTCAAGGCAGACTAGCCAGTGAGAGGCGAAATGACAGGAAGGCTTTGAAACGAAACAAAGGTAGAAGGGGGGGCGAAAGAAAAGCAAGTTACTGGACATAGCAGTTACCTCTAAATAAAGACTGAGCCACAGTATAGATCAGAAGGCTTCATTCAAACAGTGTACCTGCATGAGAATATTGTGTCAGAAGCCTTCTGACAGAAAAACCTGGGAAAATAGTGGGCACTTTCAATAATAAACATTTAACTCAGAGCTAATTACACTTACTGCACCTGAATAAGTTCTCGAAGTCCTCTCTCATCCTGGGTAACATCATTCATGGTTAGGACCTTACGTTTCGCTGCTTCTCCTTCCCCCAGGTAATGACTCACCACCTCATGGACTGTATCAACCTAAGGAAATAACTAGAACTATGAACTTTACAACTGACATTTCAGTCATGAACAAGGCCCGGATTTTGATGACATGTCATCTTTCTTTCCTTGTATCCTATGCGATGCTCTTAAATACACAAATCTCGGATATGAGCTGCTCATCTGAAGTCAGTATTTTCTTTCTCATTAAACAGAAAGCTTATCTTTTGTCTTATGTACATACTGTATACTTTTTTAAACTTTTAGACACAACTTCATACATTTAAGGCAGCCGCTTAATTGGGACAAAGAACGCTAGTCTGGATGTGTCCCATGTAACTGGAATCCACAATATTTCAAATGTTGCATTAACAAACGATTCCAATTCTCTGAAGATCTGTTATCACACAAATTTCTATGACCCTATAATTACACCAGTGTTACTCCCGTCTCAGAAGATTATACTACTGTCATGATAACAGGATATTAAAAGTTAGAGAGCAGGGTGCCTCAGTTTCATAAAATCTGTCAACTGATTCAAAAGTTATTCATGAAAGAAAGAGAGAGAGAGAGGGAACATGGACATGGCAACATCATAAGCCTATCATTCAACATAAAATAATGAGAGCTAATAGTGCTACTGACAACAGATGGCTGCATAACAAAACAACCCATTATAATCATGGCATACCATTTCCTCCTCAAGTACTACCCCAGGCATTGTCAACAGGTCACGCTCAGGGAAGTATGTGCTAGGGGGCGATGTTGCTGCTGTAATCAGAGCATGTCGGGTCCGTTCTGATGTTATCCATGCATCTCGTCGTCGGTCAGCCTCACTGGGATGAAGAGCGCCAGAAGCCTTGGTGAATGTCTCATCAGTCATAAGAGACTCCATAGTGTCACCTGCTGGGATAATCAAATCACATGATGAACATGGCAAAATGGGCATCATACTGTGACGTGGACAGTGCAATGCTCAGTAAACATCCCCCTCCAGCGGTGACGTAACAGCATTGGAGCAACTGCCGCTGCTACGGTAACAGGCCTCTCTAAATGTAATAGAAGTCTGTGATCAGTTATATTTATTATTTGTATATCATTTAATGACACGATCAGTAACTCAGACTACGCAGTGCCAAATGATTGGATGACAGTGAATGATAACTTAGAAAGGATGTGGAAGGAAGCTGTCATGATGCCCCAACTTTCAGGTACTTTCCCATGATTTCCCTAGAGGAAGTGAAGAAAACCAGAAAAACCTTGTCAGAATAGTCAGTGTTCTGGCAATTCAAAGCAGACAGCAACCAAACACAGCTTCAAAGTGTTATGGCTCAAGTCAACTTGCTCAGTGATGATTGGTTAGTTTATAGACAATTTATCAGCTGCATTTGTATCAGTGAACAAGAAATTTTTAATCAAGACTATGGTTAAAGGGTTCTATCTTCAGGTATACAACACCATGTAGTCAGACTTGAAAGGATTCTGATGATGGTGCATGCTGTACAGAACTATTAGGCTTATTTTGGACTCTATCCAAGTTTCGGAGACTGGAGCTGTCTCTGTCCTCAGGTGGATGGGGCAGGATAAACCTACTCAGTTTGGTCCATTAGAAAGAGCTAGTCTCAACCACTGGATCAAACCTACCCAGTTAGGCCCGTTAGAAAGAGCTAGTCTCAACCACTGGACCATGGGCCCAGTGTTTGAGACTAGCTCTTTCTAATGGGCCCAACTGAGTAGGTTTATCCTGCCCCATCCACCTGGGGACAGAGACAGATCCAGTCTCCGAAATGTTGTGGTTTTCGTCTTCTATATACCAGGCGATGAATAGAGTCCAAAATAAGCCTAATAGTTATGAACACAATGCAGTCTGCTGAAAGTCAACTGATGTTTTGGAGGGACATATCACCTCTATCTTCTGGGTTGAAGAATAAGTCAAGCAAGAAACCAGCAACTTGCCACCTTCTTTCACGCTGGTTCCTTGTTCAGCTTATTCTTCAAATTTGAAGATGGAGGAGATATGCTCCTCTGAAATGTCCGTTTACTTTCATTGGGCTACATGGTGTTATATCCTAGAAGACATATATCTTCATAACCACAGCTGTAAGACCCTCAAATCCTACAAAGACTGTTGTCTCTACAATGTGATGCCACATAGTTTTGTTAATGGGCACCAATGTTTTGAAGAAATTCCACCTTCCTCCCTAAGGATGCAGGCAGCAGACTCCTCCAAAGTGTTGACAGCTATCTATAACACTACAAAGTGTCATGATTCAGGAGACCACAATATGGAATATCTGCTACACTGCTGCATTGAACTCTGCTAGCCTCTTCTGCACTGGCTAATCTCATTGAAACTTAATAGATCTCATACTTTCCTGCATTCTTAAGCTGTTACTTACACATTTAACATTCTGAGTAAAGTTGAAAGTAAAATTCAGAGTGAGGCTGGAAGTCATTCTAAGCAGATGTCTTTCCACAGGCACCTGCTATTTCAAATGTAAGCATCAAAATATATAAAACTGTAACTGTACCTGTGGCTTTGTATGGTAACAAAACTTGATCTCTTAAGGGAAGAACATAAATTGAGGGTATTTGAGAACAGGGTGCCAAGGACAATATTCAGACCTATGACAGATAAAGACATGAGGTTGGAGAAAAATGCATAATGAGGTGTTTTGTAATTTGTGCTTTTCACCAAGCCTTATCAGAAGAACCAAATCAAGAAAGAAAAGACAGGCACAAATATGCAGGACATATGGTAAAGAAGGGAAGTTAGTACAAAATTTTGGCTGGAAAACCTCTTGCAAGACAAAGTATAGATAGAGGATAATATTAAAACAAATCTTAAAGAAATAGGGTGGCAGGGTATGGACCAGATTCATCTGGCTCAAGAAAGGCTCTGGTACTGGTCTCTTCTGAATGCAGAAATAAACCTTTTGGTTCCACAAACGGTAGGAAATGCCTTCAACAGGGGGACAACAATCAGCTTTTCAAGGACTCTGCTATATCAAGTTAGTTAGATGTGAAATATACAGAACATTACTTGCAATTTTCAGACAGCATAATACCAATACTTAGTCAGAAAATACGACAAACAAGGCAATTGTGTTTGTGGTTTACTTGAAGCATATTTTCCATGTTTCCAACAAATAAGACACTGCTATTAATCAAACGCACCATTTACTTGTTTCAAACATGACCTGCAACTTGATTCACATATATCACAAAAACTTGTGCTGATTTACCCCATGCACCAACATCTATGACCAAATATTATGCTCAAACCACTGTCCACTTTCTTGGCATTTTCATTTCATGCAATTGAAGAGAAGACCGACCACCATTAGCTAAATGCAGTACACACATATTTGTATAATGATGGTTTGATTTTAGAATTTCTTCACCTGTTGGAGTTGGTGCTGTGAGTGAGGATGGAGTAAGGCATGATCCATCTGTGGTAGTTGTACAGTCAGGTGAAGTCATCATGCTGCTGGCACTGCTACTTGTTGGTAGCCCTGGAATCATCAAATCGATGCCCAACAAGGCAGATGCAACTGATGGAGAAGGCACACTGTGAGGAGAACGTACTGTACCAGAGCCCAACATGTCAAAGAAAGATTTCCCCGATGCCATGCTCGGATTATCTGAAGGAGTCTCCTGAGATGAAAAGATTCTACACACAACAGGTTCCTCCTTCACTGGAGTTTTCATACCTCCATCTAACATTTTATCTTGAACTTTTGACCCAGTGCTGGCAGTGACACGGGTAGATGCTGAAATCTCTGGTATCATTCCTGCAGATGTCAAATGTTTGTGGACAGCTCCTTCGGTAATTACGGTTGATGTAACTGTGGCTGTGGTTTGAGTTGGCTGGCATGTAGTTGTTGAAGTTAATGCTGCACTTGCTGACTGGAAAAAGTCTTGGGAACCTACACTTTCTCGAACACTTGCCATCATGGCAGGGCCATTGCCTGTTGAAATCTGATCAAAGAAACTTGCATCTGATGATGCAGATGCAGTATGGGAAAAATACTGACTAAGTGAAGGTTTTTCTGGGTCTGTCTTTATATCATTTTTATTCATCTTTACTACTATCTTCCACAGCAGATAAGAATGAATCTGTTATCAGAACTTCTCTGGCTTCTTTACTCCATCCTGCTCTGAAGAAAAAAACAGAAGTCACTTGTATGAAAACTGAAAACACTTTACTGTGCCATTATATTGCTTACTGTTTCATTTGAGGCATTCTTTATACATAGTTAAAAGTATGGGATATAGATCTGTTGGAAACAGATAACAAATTATGGAATGTGTATCAACTGAATCTGATTGGAGAGAGATGAACTTTTACAAATATGACAAAAGACAAACCAATAAATAAATAAATGCACATATTACCTCAGTATTGCTACCAGCGAAAGAATATTGCACCTTTCTGTTATGTTACTGTAAAACCAAGAGTGAACAAGTCAGAAAGTGATAGTGGTTTAAAATTAAAAATAACACTAGTTTTATTACCAGTTTTTACTGAAATTTAACTGAAAAGTGGTTAAATTACTTTCATCAGCTTCTTCTTCTCTGCGTATCAGACTTGCCAATTAATGACATTTAACCTAAATGAGGTTGAACACGCTAAGGAAGTTCCGGGACTTACTTGTTACTTTTATGCCAGATTATAAAGCACGTTTCTAGCTTGTTCAACTTCTATCCTAAAGAGAAATAAACGATGTCATGAAATGACGTCACCATTAGCCTTTTTTTTTAATGCTAGTGGGGTGGGACTAAGTCCCTTGTACAGCGGCTACTTCTGGCCTATTGTACCAGCCCCAGATGATAGGTGAGGGTGATTGTGGAGCAAATTGGTGGAATGAAGATTGGCAAGGGAAACCGAATTACTCGGAGAAAACCTGCCCCAGCGCCACTTTGTCCACCACAAATCCCACTTCACCAGACCCGGGATCGAACCCGGGGCGCCGCGGTTGGAAGCCAGCGACTAACCGCTTGAGCTATGGCGCGGCCACCATTAGGCCTTAAAGGAATTAATAAACGAAATTTAGACACCTCCGTGCCTCCATCCACTAACACCAAACTGCCCGATCCAGCCGATCTTGAATATAAAATCGGCGACACCATAATCGAACACTGATCAGCTGATCAGAGTATCGCTATCGAACATGCAGAATGATTCGTACAATCGAACACGGATTATCTACATATCGTTTGAATGAAATGATCAAGCGTACGGCCAAGTACGGTTACACGAGTTTCGTGCAACGTGATCTGTACTAGGAATCGATGGGAATCAACCTTCACCAACTCCATGTTATGGGCCGGAAACATGTAGTCCATCTTTCTTTTTGTGGCAAAAAATATTGTAAATACCAAAAATGCCTAGGCAATGCCACGATTGGATTACTTCTGCCATCTCCACGCAGATACGAGTCGATTGATACAGAATGACCGCCATCAGTACCGAGAGCACGATCGGTAAAAACGTATACTATCATACCACCTGCCTATGTTTCTTCCTCTGCGCCACAACACCTAGTTCCCAATAACAATTAATAATTCTGCAACCGCATCTCTTGTACTGCATAGGTTCTTACTCCGTTTGGAATCTCGAACAGCAGTGTTATGTGGTACACTTGCAGACTAGATACTATAAACCAGTTGGTCTACACTTCCCACGAGTTTGCAGCATAGTGCCACTGCCTATTATGGCTCGTGGCTAAATCCGCCTAGGAGTTTAGACCAATAGGCTGGATAAGATTTGCCTCCAATTCAACGAATCCCAGCTGATCTCACCTACCACTGCAGCCCTTGGCCTCTCCCTGCCAAGGGGGTATCTGTGTTGGAAGAACCTTTTGCAGAGTTCTTAAGGAGAAGCAGATCTTAGCCGACTATTAGCCGCTCACAGTGAATCTCGTGGAGGTGTTTACCTGGCTGAGTGACTGAACCCCGGCTGGCTCTGATCTCTCCCCCCCTCTGATGCTGATGATGATCCAGTGGGCAGTCTAAGTGCTGCTGCCATCATTATGTATCACGATTGTGAATATAAAAGTTGCAATTCACGTTCTATATATATTTTTGTCTTTTCCTTTGGGCCATCTCTTGATGAGGAAAAAGCCTGAGGGAAGGGCACTTAGGGAGAGTCACGATGACCAACTACCACCACAACCACCTCAGCGTGGACCCCCTTTTGTGCTGAAAAGTTGCCAGAAGAACCAACCACAAGCAGACAGACCAAGAAGAGAAAAGAGAACAATGGTCAAACAACAAATACAACGAACCAAGGCGTCCTTCCAAGTGAAAGATTATGAAAATAGGTTAAGGAGTGAGAGATCAGACCCGAAGCCTGTCCACGGGCAAGGATCCCCTGGAGTCTCAAGAGGCCCTCAGGAAGCAGTGTCAGGTTGCAAAATATATGGCTACTCTAGGTCAACACATAATCATGCCAGCAGTTAAGGTTCAGCAACCTACTCCATGTAACATTATGAGACAGATGGACTCACATTATACTGACCACCCAATTACTTTGTGTCTATGAGCAGACACTGTTACGTTCACCCATGATGAATTTTGCTAATTGTATGAAATTTCAATACATACCCTATGGATGTTTGATTAAAGAATGGTGTTCAACTATACAATGGGAACACAATGACTCCAAAATGAACATACATCCTAAACAGCAAGTATTCTGACACAAAGGAAGTCAAGAACATTACAATCCTAGGATCAAAAGTCTAGCATCCATACTATTAAATTTCTGTATTCAAAATTTTCATTCAGAGAAGGAATGTCTGTGTGATATAAATTTTTAGCAAATTAATTAATATGTGCTGTCTTGCTTCCAGCCATGGCTGGCAGATGATGAATAACTACAGGTTAATATGAAAAGTTAAAAATTTCCACACTTCTTGATGCATGGAACATCATTCTAGCTTATAGTGGTGTATTAATCTGGAACAAGACCTAGAATCTCTTCTCTACTTTCAAAATCAGTGTCTATCCCTTGAAATGGCATTTGTGTTTTCATCCACTGCCAATGAATACACATTTATCTACAATTCCCATGAGATGCATCTTACAGGTGAGTGAGAAGGCTGACATGCCGAACATGATGAATCTGTCTTGTGGAAACACTCCCTGGTTGCCACTATCACTCCAACTTTTACAAATCACCCAGCTGTAAGAGACTAACTTCCTTGTTGCAAAATATATGGCATTTGGAACATGACACATGCAAATGAAATGCTTCATTAAGCATGTATTGAACATTTACTGACTTCAGTGTTTATGCAGTTAGGTATAATAATACACATATGTTCAGTTAAATCCTATGTGGTCATCAGACATACCAATAAACTCATACATAAAGTTTGGTTTACAGGTTTAGGAACCCAAAAGAAAGGTTCCAGAGTTCAATAGCTTTTGAAGCAAGGTGTACTTCATGATTTATTTTATCCGTCTTCTAGTGCATACACTTATTTATCCCCTCTTTTCGCTCTCACTACATGTTTCGGCACCAATGTGCCATCTTCAGGTGCTGATCCAATCCACGACAAACTAATTCATTGCATNACATACCCAGCAGGTCCAGCAGTATAACACACGCAGTCACAGGAGCGAGACGCAACACAGAGCACAATACACGATAGTGAAAGAGTGCTCCAACAGAGGATGATAGACGTGACTCGCGTAATGAAACACGACGTAGGAAAGAAATATGCTGTACAGTTTTAGTATTTTAACACTTGACATTTGTCAGTATATATGATAAATATATATTTTAGTTATTTTAGTATGTAAAGACAAGGCATGCAATGAATTAGTTTGTCGTGGATTGGATCAGCACCTGAAGATGGCACATTGGTGCCGAAACATGTAGTGAGAGCGAAAAGAGGGGATAAATAAATGTATGCACTAGAAGACGGATAAAATAAATCATGGACTTAAATCAGTGCAACAGGACGCTAAAATATAACAAGGTGAACTTGTTTAAGAACGTAATTCTATGTCCACTCTGTTCTGCTTTCACAAAGACAAACTTCATTAGCACTGATCGTTCCCAAAAACAGAAGTGAAAATTCGAGTAGCTCACTTTTTATGGGTTGATATTTCAATCTGTCTGGGGGAGGGGGGAAGATAACATGAAACTGAAGTGTTGACTAGACCAAGGGGGAAGGGTGTTGGTTATTATAACACAATGGCAAAACTTTAATCAAAGTATATTCTTTTAAACATATTCCTATCATAATGTGCATTTAAACAGCTGTCACTTCCCTTTATCTGGAAATTCTGTGGGCCACAAAAAAAATTAGGAAGAAATTGCCAATGTAATTTTTTAATTTGTGTGGACAGTCTTGAAGGTGCAACTTCCTCCTGTGCTTGTAAATTGTTTGTGTAGTTCCTTTATAATTCTTATTTCTGCAACATGTTTAGACCTTACATGGCCATTAACAGGTAGATACTTTTATGTAGTTGCTTCACAGTACTACTTTTTGGTTCACTGTTCAAAAAGAAGCAGCCATGATTGAGGTTCATATTCTGTATGCTGTGGTTTCCCTGCCATAACATAGTTGCATCTCATATTAACGCGTTTTGAAAGGAATCAAAAACAGTGAAATGAAATCTACTGATATAAATTATTTTGGGGAATTTCTGACTGCCAGCTTGCAATATCAATTTTCATTTTCAAGCCCTCTGATACCTGTATTAAGCATAAATAAATTTCCATTAAACTCAGAATGATCACTGGAGGCTACTCCATCTTTGTACATCCTATTATTATTAGAGGAGGTGGGTTTCCCCATGCACTTAGACCAGTTATTGGTCCACTGTGCATCCCCTTTAATTTCTACTGTCGCCATACCCTACTGGTACTGGTGCGTGATATCAGCCCCGTTCAGCCAACGAGGTTGGCCCTTGGTACCTGATATTTCACCCAGCTACCAGAGGCATTGGAAACTACTTGGGCGGGAAATGTGTTGCCTAATTTTTCTCAGAGGTCTCCTAGAGACATGAGGATCTTTTACGTGCCGTAAATCTACGACACGGGACCCACCGCTTAAAGTCCCTCCCAGAGGACTTGTTCCCTGAATTTTTCTGCCCTTAAAAATTCCACGACCTCCGCCGGGTTTCAACCAGCATACCTTGAGTCATGAGGTGGGAACGTTACCTTTAGACTATGGAGGCCGCTTTTTGTACATCCTAACTAAATTACTAATATGCACATGGCAGCCATATGAATATTACTGCCATTCAAAGGAGGTTCCAAGTTTTGCACGGTGATCACTGGACTGTCTGCAACTTTTATGATGGTAAGCAATTGGAAAAGTGGAAAATCACAAACACAGCAACAGTATAAAATATTTTTGTCGATGATTAATTCAATGCAATTTGACACTGACATTTTTAATGACATTATAAACACATTTACAAATTCTGTATGAAACATTTTCTTGCATTTTTGTTTACTACACTAACAAGTGCGAAAGTAAGTACTCCTGGAGTAGTGTCGCTGATTTAAGTTCAAACATGTCATCACACTCTTTATATCATGACATTCATCATACAAAAGAATGTTTGAATTAAAATGTGTCACTATAGGGAGTAAATTGTATAGAAATACCATTCTCTTGCCAGCAAAGCCTAAATCCTTTGGAACCATGACATGCACCATGCACATGGCAAGCACTTTCAATTTGTGTTCTTGTATGAGGAGCACTCAGGGTGATAGTCAAGTTACTGGCTGAAGCATGTGTTTATTCAGGGCGAATTATTACTGCAACACCTATGTTTCAACTCAGAAAAAGGAATTATGGACTGTGTGTTATGTATATATAATTAAATTTATTCTTTCTCAAAAGAAACTCATCTCCTTGCATCCTGCTAACACACATTAAATATATATTTCTTGTAAATCACACTGTAAATTTATTCACAGTTACACAATGTACAGTGATCAATATAAGCATTTTAAAAGATTCGTCCAGAAATCGTGCTATTGTATTATATACGTATAGTTATCATGATAAGGATGACATGATTTGAGTAGTTGGCCTGAACATGTCAAGGAGAGGTTTGCTTTTATGTTGTATGGTATCACTAATATTGTTTTTACTAATAATTTTCTCAACACACAACTCTTTTGTTATCATCTAAATGAAAAAAGTCTTCCTGCTTA